TATTGCTCAAGTGTTTCCCGTAGCAACCGAAACAACTGTAAACAAAGTTACCTTGGAGAAACTGGAAGAAGAAATAGCAAAACTCACAGCAGTGACCGGTCATAAAGTCAACTGGAATACATCTGAAGGACTGGCTTAATCAGTCAAACGAATGATTAATATCCTTCTTCAAAGGTACCTAATAAACAAGAAAAAAGAGCGATCAGCGAAATCTTTGTTTATTCTTTGGCAAACATAGGGGAAAGTCAAAAATTGCTCAAGGATACGTCTTGATCGAACTTCGTTGGAAGAAGTTCTTGTGGGGCAAATGACAGCCAAGGGAAGACGATTGCCTTGAGAAGAGTCAAACAAAGACACATCATTTAACATTTGGAGGCTAGGCAAAGCGCGGAATATGGGAATAAATAAGCACAAACGTTTGGGTGTGTTTTATCTAAGGGATGCTGAAGTTGGAATCCAGATCGACTGCAAACTCACTTAAGTTGTATGAGATGTATCACCCTATTTCGTTTAAGGTGATGAAGGACTGGTAGTTGCCTTTTCGCACAATTATGAGTATAACTGACGTTTTCATTGAATTTCACATGGCCCTGCTCGCACAGAAGTTGTTCTCATTCAGGGTGGACTGCAGTTACGACCTTGCTTAGGTATTATCAACACCCCCAGCGGGAGTCGAACCATGACGATGCAGCGTGTGAGCTCGATACGTTAACCACTCCGCCACATATCCACGAGTGCTCTTGGGTCACAGGAAGGATGTTAATTACAAGGAATGCCAAGCATTTTCCCATACCACATTCTTTGGTGGGAGTGTCGATGAAGCAAAGTTGTGTTTGCTATAACAATCGACTAAATTACTTATTTTTTGTTAAAAAGCAGAGTTTCGAGACTTCCATTTAATCAGTTATATGAGCTGAATTCACCCAATTTCGTCTAAGTGGATGAAGCACTCAAATTAGATAGCTGAGGATGAAAACCTACTTTTATTTGGTTCATAAGACATATTTTTCGTGTATAAGTAGGTTTTCGAGACTATTACCAGATCATAAATACATGAGATGTATTCACAATGATAGGAGTAGCCCCTACATTAACGTTAAAAAGCATATAGCCTTGCTCCCCATAGACTATTCTCCTCCAGAGTGGATGGTAATTTCGACCTCACTTAAATATCTTAATCACATTCAACGGGACTCGAACTCTGGTAGTGTAGCATATAATCTATGTACGCAGGAACATGGATACGGAAAGCTCCGAAATAGCAAAACACATTACACGAACAGGACACGAAATGGACTGGAAATCGACCGAATGGTTGGCTGCATATGGTGAAAATACGAGAAAATGCAGGATCCGAGAGGTGATCGATATACTGACCGAGATAAATCTAATGAACAGGAGACTTGAAGAAGGCAGGATCAGCGAAAACTTTGCATATCGCCTAAACAAACTCGGAGAAGGCAAGTCAACAGTAAAATCAGCAAAAAGAAGACGACAGGATCAAGTTAATACTCTTAATTTTAGAAAAATAAAGGGCAAGGGAACCAAAAATGAACAATCAGAAGCCAAGAGGGGACTTCTTCAGTGAGCCTAAACAAAACAAGTAGAACCACAACATTTGTGGGTTGGCACGAAAGGGACTAGAACATAGGAAGTGATAAACAGTGTAGTAGTGACAGAAACAGGATAGACGCGGTGGAGACTATAGCTATCTAGCTATTAATAGACGTGTTTGATCATAGACGTGATCCACCAAGCACGTCTATTTTTAGTCAACCCGCTTTAGCCTCCACCGCGTTTATCATGTTTCTATGTGCAATGCCAAGTCTATTACTTGCTATGCCCTATTCTATTGTGTGCCAACCCACAAACGTTGTGTTTCAACAGTGAACCTAATCAAAGCAAGCAATACCACAACATTTATGGGTTGGCACACAAGAGACTGGGGCATGGGAAGTCATAGGTTTGGTATTAGGAATGGAAACAGGATAGACGCGACGGAGACTAGAGCCAGTTGGCTGACAATTGGCCTGTTTTACCATAGACGTAGCAAAGGCTTGACCATGATACTTAGAGGCTTTAGCCTTGAATTAGTCACTAAGACGCTGGGGATGAGTAATAACGCCTCGAGTAGTAGTGAGAACACCATCAGGGAGTGTGGAGGGTTTTCATGAAAACCGCTCAAAAGGGCAAACAACACTAGATTTAAATAAGCAAGGAAAACAATTGTGATAGTGAAGGCGTGATACGAGGATATAGGAGAGGTGAACAGCTCATGAAAGAAAGAGAGATACCACAACTGTTTAGCACACATTTGGTCAAAGATCGGCTTCACGTATCTCTTTGACTAGTTGTTGTATGGTGCTAAGACTGGCAAGACTAACTGAAGATGCCGGCGAAACGTCTGGGAATGTACCCCGCCAACGGTCCGACTTTGGAAATGATCATGTGCATAATGGACTCCGGACTAGATGCATTCCTCTAAGTCTTCCTACCAATATGACCAAGTTGCGAAAACAAGGTCAAACAACTTCTATCAGGGCTATAGTTTATTTGCGATAAGAGTTAGTGTCAATAAAATCTAAGGGGGGACGAAGCTTTAATTAACTCTTAATGAGAAAACGTCTTGTGGGGCAAGTCTAAATAAAATTCTGCGGCATTGTAAGGTCTGTGCGAAGAAAAGGTGGGTTTCGAGGAATCTCTTGTTTCAAATTTGTTGAGATTACTCCCATTTCGAGTGAAAATGTTGAGTGAAGAGATTCGAAGGTCGGTTCCAGCAGAAGACGATGGCAGAGTCCTCTTGACCAGCTGTCGATTGGCTTTACTGAAAGTTTCGTACTGAAGCTGTTTCCGAGGAAATCTTCTTCGATTCTGGTGAAAAGGTTATAAGCTTTGCTACATGGACCACGTCTCTAATACAACAGACCTACCGTCAGCCAACTGGCTCCGGTCCTTGCCGTGTCTATCCTGTTTCTATCCCTAATACCAAGTCTATGACTTGATATGCCCTAGTCTTTTGTATGCCAACCCACAAATTTGTGGTTCAACATTGAACCTAACCAAAGCAAGTGGTAC